TCCACCACCCCCATACTGCCCCTTTTTGTTCTACCACCCCCCTGAAAAATGAAATCACCCCCTGGGGGGCATTATTGCCCACGTTAACAACCACTGGGATAGTTGACTGCTAATTTAGCACCTAGAAGTAAGGTCCAGAGAACCTCACCCACAGCCATCAGACAGTTTCAAGTGACAGATTCTTATTTTTTGTTTTTCTGTTATACGTTCTTCAACATATAATTAGAGACAAGCCCAAGATGAACAATATTTCACTCACCTGATTCATACTAACAATCGCACCTTAAAACACCTATACACCTTCTACAAAACCACAGTTTTCAGTCATTTCAGACTTGGCATCTATGTCTAAACTTTTAACTGTGCATATCTGCCTTTCTCCTCATTTTCTCTCCATTCATAAAAACACATATTAAATGGTGGTGGTGGTGGTGGTGCTGTTAGTGCAACCGAAAAGGTCATGAAAACTCGTAAGTTTGTTTTATTACATATAAGGATTTAAAAATCAATTAAAAGAAAATGAACAAGTCTTCCAACAGAACTGTCAGTTCTCACTAAAAAGGAGAAAAAATGTGAGAACTTGTTCCTCATTACCAACCCTACTAAGAAATTCAGGTATATAACTAAGTCATTTTGGTGCATGATCAGTGCAGTACAAAATGAAAACTTACATGTTTCAAAACTTTTGTCATCATACAGTTTTCAAACATATCCCATGCTGAAAATCTCTGCAGAAAATAAGTTTACTTTCAAACTGTGCTTTAATGTTGATACTACCACTGAATTTCTCTCTCTCATTTACTCAGCTGACACTAACTTAAACAGGTATTTACTTTCATTTCTTTATGTGCTGATTTTCTATTTCAATAATCTTATACTATATTAAAAATAGATGAAAATAATGTTAAAATCCTTTAAGAATATTACAAGGAAATAAGTGTCATGGAATTCATCGAGACCTGGCATTGAATAATATGTTTAAGATCAGTAGTTTCTTTCCTATTACATTCTCTTACCCAGAAAGGACAGTCATGTACCACCAATCTGACATTTCCAAACACACAGGCTTGATACTCGGTGAATGCAGGGTTTCTAATGTGGTTGGCAGAGTTTAGCAACAAACTGCTGTCAGTCTCTGAAACAAGAGCGCTTCTCCCAAGATAGGTCCAGATCAGACTTCTCTGCTGATCATCCTCAGAAAATCCAGTTCCTTCATTTCCAAAAGCTACAATGTGAATGGACCTACAAATAAATGATGCTTTTTTTAATCTGCTGGAATCAAAATCTATTATGATAAAATTAAGAGATGGGGGAGAAAAGAAAAAACAAATGATATTTTAAAGTCAAAACAATAACATTATTTCACTTCTAAGACACACTTTTTGTTTTTTGTTTTTTTCAAACGTGAAGAACTTGAAAAATAAATAATGACCCACATACATGATCTTAAATCCACAAGCAGGAGAGCAAATCGGCCAGAGATCCTGCAAAAGCTGCTTGCATTATAAATCCAAAGGTTCTTGAGCTCATTCTTCCTCCATTCCCTGAAGCTGCTTCATGCTCTTAGTCGCATACTTGGTGGCTCTGTGGTGCGTCCGCCAGTGTCTAATTCAGCAATCCCTTTCTCTGCAAATCAAAATGAGGATTAGTTCTTTGACAACAGCCTGCTGCTACTGCTGCTGAAGGTGAAATCAGCACATACACTCAGCAGCTCCCAGCTTCGAGCACAGCCATTGCCTCATGACGTCAGAAAACTCTACCAACAAAGGGTTTTAACACCCGCAAGAGAAAGAGAGACTACAAATTTCTGCAGAACCAAAATAAGACGGTCAGTTTGGTGGAGACAGAGAGAAAAAAGCAAAGTGTGGGTTTGGGAGCAGCAGCATCTCAGAGAACTGAAGAAACCTACGTGGTACACTGCTGCTAGAGTGAAAAAGATACATAAATACATGAGCTCACTGGCAGCCAATCCACTTCCAGTCATTCCAAATCCAGGAAGGCAGGCAGCCCAAGCTAAGGCAGAGAGAGCAACACTCAAGGGAAAAAAATGCCCCCAATAGAAAATACTTCTTTTCAGGACCTTTCACATGTATATCAGAACAGACTTTTAAAACCAGCTTTGTAAAAAAACCTTTGGATTCCACAACCAACTCTTCTATTAATAGTCAGATTAAATTAGATCTTATATTTGATTGCAAATATTTTTACATTTAACTAACATATTGCATGTACATAAAAAAAAAATTCAGTGGTCACCATATGATCAGCCATTGTGTGACAATAAGTATAATGTTTTGAATATGGAGATGGATGAGCCTCTTTCTTAAGAATAATGTTTTCTGCTTCTGGTATCACTACTATAAGTAAAACAAATATATATAATAAAAATTGAATATTAAACAGAAATATTTAAAGTATTTTACGATATGCAATTATAAATATTATATACAATTTGATATGTAAACATACAAATACAAAATAGAAAGGAAATGAGTCTTTTAAAAATTGTTAAGATCTATAAGATAAATTAAGTATACAATTTAATGTTGTTTCAATACTTGTGCCTGCCTCTTATTTTATACAGTGGTGCCTCGCTTAACGATTACCTTGTTAAATGACAAATCCACTTTATGATGAAGTTTTTGCGATCGCTATTGAGATCGCAAAACGATGTTCCTATGGGGAAAATTCACCTAATGATGATCGGCTCCATGCTTTCGGAACCAATTTTTCGCTAGACGACGATTTTAAAACAGCTGGTCAGCGGCTCTAAAATGGCCGCCTGCTGTGCAAAATGGCTCCACGCTGTGCTTTAGGATGGATTCCTCGCTTTACAGGCACCGGAAAATGGCCGCCCTGTGGAGGATCTTCGCAAAACGAGCAGGTATTTCACCCATTGGAATGCATTGAACCGGTTTTCAATGCATTTCAATGGGTTTTTTAATTCTGCTTGACGAGGATTTTGCTTAACAGCGATTTGAACGGAACGAATTATCCTCGTCAAACGAGGCACCACTGTATTTTAAAAATGTGCAATTTATTTTTGGTTGCAATCCTGTGCAAATGTACTTTGACATAATGTATGCCACAATGAACTCAATGGAATTTCTGAACAGACCTGCACAGGACTTCTTTGCCAAAGTAAAAACAAAATTAAGATATAGGATTGTTCTGTTAAAGTCATGATGAATCTTAATTTGAACTTGTGCACAAAAGTATTTCTGCAGATTATATATAAGTGATCTAAATCAGTGGTCTCCAACCTTGGGCCACCAGATGTTCTTGGACTTCAACTCCCAGAAATCCTGGCCAGCAGAGGTGGTGGTGAAGGCTTCTGGGAGTTGTAGTTCAAGAACATCTGGAGGCCCAAGGTTGGGGACCACCTATCTAAATGAAAAAAACACAAGAAAACAAAGAGAAACCTCAACAACTACCATCTGGCAAGGGGATACTATCAAGGCAAAGTTTGTCATTCCTTAAAATGAAGTTAAGGAAACAATCCCGTTTTTACAGTAAATGTATTTTTTATTTATTTGAAATATGTTTACCTCGCCTTTCTTCTTAAAAAGGACCCAAGGCAGATTACATAATTAAGTCTATTATCTTCAAAAAGGTAGGTTTTCAGTTATAAAGACAGTACTTGAGACATCTAGCTGATTGTTCAAATCTAAGATGTAGAAGGACTTCCCCAACATACACATTAACCAGGTATTGGTATGCAAGCACAGCAATGATGTCACCAGCAATAGCAAGATGCCAATACTGTATAATAAAGAATGAATGCTTCTGCTTCAGATTCTGTACAACTAATGCGCAATAAGATAAAGATGAATGCAACCTGAAACTGAAGCAAGAATTTCAATTAATTGATGTTCAAGGAAATTAGCAACAATTTGCCAGTGTTGGTGTTGTCATTCTTACATTGGTGTGGCTGCAAAATGCATATTCACCACAGATATAATAAGATGAAAATCCATTTACTTCGTGTTAATCCCATTCTCAGCCTGCCAGGAGCCATCCAGGGGGAGAACAGTATTCCCTTTTGCTGCCCAGACAAGGCAGGGGTTGACAAAGAAGGAAAATTTTGCATATCTAGAGCACATGTTCAGCTCTTCCCTGAGTTTTTTTTCTCTGCTTAACATGGGGCACATTGCTCTCACTTCTTCTCTGTTTAACAATCTTCATCTTCACTCTTTGGATACTTTTCAACTTTTGTGCTTTTCACAATTGATTTCCCCACATGAGAAATAACAATAAAGATGGTGTGCCGTCAAGTCAATTCTAACTTATGGGGACCTTTTTTAGAGTTTTCCAGGTACAGAATACTCCAAAGTGGCTCATTATTCCCCTCATCTGAGGGCACCTTGGGACTGTGTATCTCACCAAGCACAGTGGAGAATTGAACTGAGCTATTCAGACAGCTCCGCTAAGAATACTGACACTGAAATCTTAAATTTCATACTGTTGTTGTTGATAGTGATCCATTTACAAGTAAAACCCTGAAAAGACTCACCATAAATTAGAACTAACTTAATGCCATAAATTATTATTATTATGTGGGGAAATCAATTATGAAAAGCACCAAATCTACCAAGCTGTCAGACCAGCCACAGAGATTGCTTTCAAGCCTGTCCAGCTCCCTTCATATTCCCATGCACCTCTTATTGTCTCTGCCAGGCAGCCAGGGATTATCCATTAAGCAAAATACTGTAAATCACGGGTTTTAATCTCAATTTACCTGGGGGCCGCTAGAGGCAGAGTCTGGGTGAGGCTGGGCCGCATCAGATTTCCCGCCAAGCAGAGCAAGAGCCCGAGGAAGCTGCCCAGGAGTTTCCTTAGCCGACAGACAGGTGGGCCGGCTGGCAGGCGGCAGTTCTGGATGGAGGGTGCAAGAGGTGCTGTCTTGGGAGAGAGCTGGCGAGTGAGGCAAGGCTTTTTTTAAACTCTTGACAGCAGAGGATNNNGCGCTTTGTGGTGGCAGTCAAACTCTCATCTGGGGGGCCGCAAATGGCCCCCGGGCTGCATGTTTGAGACCCCTGCTGTAAATGCATGCTTAGGGCATCAACAAGGGAAGGGGGCATCAGGTTTTTTTTTCAGTGCTGGATTTTCCATGGACCATGGTGCAAATGGTGGACCCTACTTAACAAATCACATCCATCCACCCCTCACATTCAGCTCTCCCTCCCTCCCTCTTCCTCAAGAGCACGAAGAAAACTTTCCCTACTTAAAGTAATTTGAGTATGTGCCAGTAAATAGTATAAAGATTCACCCAGTGAGAAAATTCAGGCTTTGAGTGAAATGATCAATCATCACCATCGCTTAGTGCCTTTTGTTTATTTATTTTTTTACTTTATTTTGGGAGGTTGAGTGGCGATAAGGATAAAAAGAGCTCCTGGTCTTTAAACTCATGGCCTCTGCACTGTATGTGCAAGCCAAAGGAATAACAGCCACTGTTAAAGCTGCCCCCAAAGGGGTCTGAAGCTCTTGATTGAGCTTTTCGGTTTACAGATTCTGACAAAATCTGTCTACATTAATCAAAGCATGAAAGTGCAAGATTTGGCTGGAAGCCGGTAATTAGATTGTACATACGATTTTAGATACAATATGTGGTTCTTTTTTGCTGTACATTATACAGTATAATTAAATAACTGTATTTTCATGTGAATGTTTTAAGGTGTTTTTTTAAAACCATGGGAACCGCCATGCATTCTATTCATAGGGGGCACCACAATCTTTTCAGAATTTAGGGCTTCTAAAGGTCTTAATCCGGCAATGCTGCCAGGAGCTGTAGAAGCCCTTCTTCCAGTAATGGTGGTGAAAAACATCAAATCTGCCAAGGAGCTGGACAAGCCACACAGATACTTTCTGAAGCATATTCATTCCCCCTTACATTTTCATGTATTCCTTACCATTTCTACCAGAAGCTGTTGAGAGCCATAGAAAACTGCCCCACCAGTATGTTCATTCACATCTGTGGCCACAATTAATATTGAATGGATGGAGGCAGTACATTTGGTTAACACATCTCTACTTTTATACAGTTCTACAGAATCCTTGGCTCCAGGATTTACTCTCTCATCCTCTCCTTTTCCCAAACATTTTGATTTATATATCCTTATCTTCCCCCAACATGTTTCCATGACTGAAGATAGAGTTATATGCCCCTCAAATCCACTCAGACTAGATGCAGAACAGTCGCCTCCAAATCAAAGTAAATACAGGTCGATGGGTTCTTAAAGTCAACACTTGCATAGGTGGAACTTTGTGTTCCTGCTCATCCTGTAGCAATCTACTGTATTTGTAAGGCCAAGGGAATGCGTTTAAATTATAGTTATTTGTTACTCGTTTTGGGGAAGAGGCAGGGAAACTATGTTGGTAAACTGCGGACAAAAGGAAATGCACGGTGCTTCTCAAGTACTGGTAAGACGTGAAAATAGCTATTTTGGGGTGGGGTAAAGAAAGTCTAGGATGAAACTAGCAACACTTCGTAGGCTACAGCTCGACTCTGCACTTTGGCTTCTCGGAGAAAAAACAGCCTGTGTGGTTTTGGGCAAGCTGCACAGCTCCCGAGGTACCTCCAGAAGAAGGGAACGGTAAACCACTTCTCTGTATTCTCTTCCCAGAAAACCCTGGAAAGGGTCGCCGTACGTTAGAACTGACTCGACGGCAGGCTATTATGCTTGTATAATAAATTACATAAATAATAGCACTTATTATTCAACCGACTCGTGTACGGTGGGTATTATGTAATCAAGCTGCACAGCTCCCGAGGTACCTCCAGAAGAAGGGAACGGTAAACCACTTCTCTGTATTCTCTTCCCAGAAAACCCTGGAAAGGGTCGCCGTACGTTAGAACTGACTCGACGGCAGGCTATTATGCTTGTATAATAAATTACATAAATAATAGCACTTATTATTCAACCGACTCGTGTACGGTGGGTATTATGTAATGCCTTCCTGCCGAGGCCATCCAAGAANCCGCCTCGAACCACCACGGCCGTAAGTAGCGGCCTCTCGCGCGCGTTCGTTGCCTTGGCTACTGCCCAGCCAGGCGGCGGCCTCGGCCTCCGGCATCTTCGGCCGTTTTGCCCGCCCTTTGGAGAAGCGCGTGCCGGCCGGTATCGGTTGGCTTAGCTGTGCCCCGCCCGAGCCCCTCACTCCGAGCACCGGGACATGCACCGAGCTAGACCCCACTGGGGCGCCGCAACCCTGCGGAGCCGTGGGTACTGGAGGACCGTGGGGCAGCCGGAGGGCATCGTCTCGGAACAGGACACCGACCACCACTTCGTGCACCGGAGCACCATTCCTACCATGCACTTCCAGCCCAGCTTACCCAGGTTGCTCGTCCTTCCTCCAACTTGACACTGGGGTGTGCCTGTGCCTTGGAGGTGGCAGCTGGCTAAGCCGCAGAATAACAAAAGCGACGGCGAGCGAGAGCAAAACCCACCGCCCTCTCTCCCGCCTTCTCCCATCTTTCCTTCTGCCGGGAGAAAGTAGCTCTGCACAAAGCCACTCATTTCAGTAGTGACAAATCCCAAAGGGGGTTATATTTCAGCTTCTCAAGATTTAACTTCCTCGGAGTAACAGGAGCAGAGAAAATGCTTCTAGTTCTCACCCCATTTTTCTACAATAAAAAGCCCCCCCTTCAGTGTTTTTAGGGACGTTGCCTTGATCTTGTATGTGGGAGCAGAGGGTTCTCTTGAGTCCAAAAGGAGGAGGCCTGAGCTACTTGAAAGACCAATAAGAATTTACAGAAAATAAAGCTTGTTAAGCTCTAAGGTGTCTGGCATTACAAGTCACCCCCCACTATGGAAACCCTATGAATGAGCAATCTCCAAAATGCCCTGTCCACTGGCTACTGGCGAGCACCAAAGAATTTCAGAAGATCGGTCTGTGCTTTATAGATTACAGCAAAGACTTTGACGGTGCACCTCACCAGAAACAATGGGTTCGTTTGAGAGCAATGGGTGTGCCTTAGCACTTGATCGTCCTGATGCATAACTTGTACAGTATTGTGGACGAGAAGCTACTACCATTAGGACAGAATATGGAGAGACAGAATGGTTTCCTATCAGCCAAGGGGTCAGAAAAGGGTGTATTTTATTCCCTTATCTATTAAATCTGTATGCAGAACATATACACAGAACCAGATTTGAGTCAGATGAAGGATGAGTGACAATTGGTGGAAGAAACACTATTAATTTAAAATATGCAGATGACACCATTTTACTGGCAGAAAGCAGCAATGACCTGAAATGACTTTTAATGAAAGTGAAGAAGAAAGTGCCAAAGCAGGACTGCAGTTGAACGTTAAGACCAAAATCATGACAACAAAAGAACTGCATAACTTTAGTACTGACAATGAAGAAACTGAAATAGGCATTTTGTATATCTTAGTTCAATCATCAATTCAAATAGGGACTGCAGTCAAGAAATCAGAAGAAGCCTGAGACTAGGAAGGGCAGCAAAGAAGGAACTATAAAAGATTATCAACTCTACGGGTGTGTCACTGGAGACCAAAACTAAGTTCATTCACACTCTTGCATTTCCGATCACCATATATGCACTTGAAAGCTGGACAGTTAAAGAAACTGACAGGAGAAAAATTGTTTTGTTTGCAATGTGGTGCTGGAGGAGAGCTTTGTGGATACCCTGAACTGCCAAAAAGATGAACAAATGGGTTCTAGATCAAATCAAACCTGAACTAACTCTGGAAGCAAACATGTTGAAGCTGCCATACTTTGGCCAAAAGGCAGGATTCTCTGGAAAAGACAATAATGCTGGGAAAGGTAGAGGGCAGCAGGAAAAGATGAAGACCAAATACAAGATGGACTGACTCCCTAAGGTTTGAAGCTGAAGGACAGGACATTTTGGAGATCACTCATCCATAGGGTTGCTATAAGCTAGAGTCAAGGGCATATAACAACATCAACAGCCCTGCTCACTCTTGTAAATTCATTAAGGTGGCTAGGAGACTTTTTTGTGATAATTTAAACTGCTTCTCACAGTATTAATTATTATTCATCTGCAGTGAGTATAATTTCTCCATGACTCGGAGGCAAAGGTTTTGCCAACAGAGAGTTTATATTTTTCTTCCCAAGTGTTTAGAATGTCCTAAATTACTGATGTGTGGCCATGTGAGCTATATATATATATATGCTAGGAGGTTTAAAGGAATCGTGGATATTTGATATATAATTTCTTAATATTATCCTTTTACAGATTGCCTATTCCAAAACTGGAAGATACTATCAAGAGATACCTAGCTGCCCAAAAACCACTACTGAATTATGAACAATACAGGTAAAATAAATGATATTTAAAATTTTGTAACAGTTGGGAGATTCTTCTCCAAGTCTATCCCTGTCAGCTGCTCAAAAGTCTTCTGTTCTCTTTTGCCATCCAGTGCTTAAAGGAAGAGCTCTAGTTCCTTGGCAGAAGAGGTGCTTTGTATACAGAGATCCTCCCTGCTCAGTCTCAAGCAACTCTGTTTAGACTGCACCAGCCTGCTCCAAAAGGGCCAGTGTGTCATAACTAAGGTTTGACATACCAAATCCCCACTACTGTAATTCAATGAGTTTACTTACTGCAGTTTATAACACTAAGCAACAGGATTTCAGCTCTTGGGTTTGAACAGTGGCCACGAAGAGCTCAATTCTCTCTTCCTGCTTCTGCTTCTCCAAAGCCCAGTATACAGTGAGAAACCAATCCTATCTCAAATGTATTTGCATTTGTTCTTTGCATAGTGACTCATTCTCTGCACTTTTTCCTATTTGTTTAAAATTCAGAAATTGAGATATTTGTGCAGCATGTATATAACACAAAAAATTAGGCAAGAAGCTGTAATACCTGCTTTTATGGACTCTTGAGTATAATTTATGTAAAAATTTATTTTCTAAAGATTCCAAACCTAGAATTATTAAAAATTATACTTATAATATTCACCGGCATTGATTTTATTTGAAAATGAGTGCTATATTGATTTTGGATGTCCAGAAAAACAAGTAAGTGAGTATTATATCAGATCAAACCTGGTCTGTAGAAGCAGGAATGTGAGACATCTGGAAGGCTGGTCTTTATCTGAATCTGCTTTAGGGTATAATCCATTAAGGTAGTACTGCAGCAGCACATACTTCATTGATTTGGGGTGTGTAAAAATTCCATTATATATTACATATATGGCAAGGAAATCTTATTACTATCTTCCTTTTCCTTTTTTTCTCTCTTCTTTTTTCCCTTCCCCATCTTGGACTTTGGGATTAATTTGGATTGTACCTCAGTTTATTTTTATGTTATATGTAAAGCGCCCAAAGGAGACACATTCTAGTTGGGCGGTATATAAATCAAATCAAATCAAATCAATCAATCAATCAATCAATCAATCAATCAATCAATCAATCAATCAATCAATCAATCAATCAATCAGTCAATCAGTCAATGAATAAATAAAATGTTATAGTTACAGCTATCATAGCTATAGTTTACTGTTAAAGTACAGTGATATTAATTAATTATTAATTATTAATTCATTTTAAACTTCTAGATATACTAAAAAAATTGCCAGAGAGTTTGAAGCCGGAGAGGGCAAGTTAATACATCGTGATCTACTTGAACATGATAAAATTAATAAGCATACAAGTTATATATCAGGTTTGGAATTTTTTAAAATTGTCTTATGCTTTTTTAGAAATGTTGATTTATTTTTTCTTGCTATCACTAAGTCTAGGGACTGTTTTTCAGCAGGCAAGTTGTTGTGTTTGCTAGTTGTTTTTTCATACTATCTTGCATTTTGTTTGTGCTGAATAGTCACTTAAGGAATAGCCTTGTAGACAGGTGTTATTATTATGTGGTTGCTCATAACCTAGGTTTGGGGCTAGCAATCCTAATGGTGCATGTAGCCCTTGAAATATTTTCAAAGTTTATCTGCAAATGACCTGTTCAGATTGACATACTGTATTTTGCCGCCTCCTGAAAGCCTGCTAGGTAGAGTTGGAGGAGGAGAAAGAAAAGAAAAGGTGATGCAAGTGGTATGTATGTGTGATACAGAGAGAGTGCATAAAATATTTGACCCTGCCCATTTTTGGCTCGAGAGCCATGTATCGCTGCATTGTGATTCTTGGCAGATTATTCTGAAAAAATGCAGCAATAAAAAAGGTAACCCACTCCTATTCTAAGTTCATTAAGGAATCCTCTCACAGTCATTAGCCTTATCCAAAATACAGGTAAAAATGTTATTCAAGCAGAAAGGCTAAGCAGTCTCTCATCTCAGTGGTTGCCTGAATCAGTTTGATACTTCTCTTGAACCCTTCTGTTAGTGTGACTATTTTTGGAGTCCAGAAATAGCACACATTATCCTTATTACTTCTTGTCCTGATTTAGAAGCAGGTAGGCTGGATATGTGAGTGGGTTGGGTACCTGACAAGTGTGACTCCCAGGAGAAGTGCCAGCCTGTGTAGCTGTGGGCAAGCTACACAGTCTCAGAACACCACTAAAATAATGGAATAGTAAACCAGTCCATAACACGTTATGAGCAACCTTTCAATAGAGATCATCTAAAGAATACCTAGGGAAGCTATACTCAGAGCCTGGAAAATAACATACTATGTTAATCATTACTTTTGCACTGAACAGAAAACAAGATAAGTGACAGATGTAGAGAATTACATTTTAAAGTAATGTTTCTAATATTCTAATGTTTCTAATATTCAAGAAATTATTTTCTTAATAATAACTCTGGTCAAATTTAAATCATATGTACACACGATATGCAAATTAACAGTGATGTATTGGAACTGCCCCATAGCATCTAATTCCCAATCTGAGAATAAACATACAGAAGGACTTCTTTCAACTTGATTGACATATTCAGACTCACTGATAAAATTGTTATTTGTCTGAACATAGACTGGCCTAAATGAACACTCACCAATGGTAAACCCTGGCACAGCCATTTCCAAAGTAGTGTGGGAAAGACTCATTAGAATGTCAAAAATAAGTTAACAATGTAAATGCAAGATTAGGGGGAAAATTGTCAAGTTTCATGCATGATTTAACTTCCATATCATAGTCCTTGTTTTGTTTTTATATACTGTGTTATTGTGCAAATATGTTTATATGTTCAACAGCTAAATGTGTATTCTATTAACAAAATTGTTTTTGTTTTTGTAGCACCTTGGTCTGACATGTATCTTTCAGCAAGAGAACCTATTGTTTTTAACTACAACCCTTTTATTACTTTAAATCCTGATCCAAACCCAAGATACAGCAATCAAATAGTGAGAGCAACAAATCTGGTTGTATCATCATTAAAGTTTCTTAACTCTCTGAAGAATGACTATTTGCGACCAGATATATATTACGTAAACCGCAGATGGGGTCAGAGTAAAGTTTTCAAACACTTTATACGTATGCTACCACCTACTTTATCTTGGTATGGAGCTTATTTGGTGAATGCTTATCCTTTAGATATGTCACAGTATAAGTCACTTTTCAACAGTACCAGGATTCCTAATTTAAGCAAAGATTCATTGTTCACAGATGAATTTGCAAGACATTTGTTGGTGATGAGAAATGGTCATTTTTATGTTTTTGAAGTATTGGATCCTTTTGGTAACATTCTACACCCATCTGAAATTCAGGCTCATTTAACACAAATAATACATGATGCTGATCGGTTGCCTGGGTTTGAACTCTCCCTCCTGACTACTGAAGAAAGAAATACCTGGGCAACATTAAGGCAAGAACTTGTCCTGAAAGGTAATGAAGAAAACCTAAAGAAAATTGACAGTGCAGTTTTTTGTCTTTGTTTAGATAACACTTCCCCCAAAAATGAAACTGAGCTTGCACATTGTTTTCTTCATGGATATGGCTTTAATCGCTGGTTTGACAAATCCTTTAGTCTGATTGTCACAAGTGATGGTACTGCAGGAATAAATTTTGAACACTCTTGGGGTGATGGAGTTGCAATTCTACGATTTATAAATGAAGTATATAGAGACAGTACAGAGCATCCAGCTCTTGTACCAGAAGCCAGTCCAGCTTTTTTTGTTACGTCATGTGACAAACTGGAATTTAATTTGGGATGCACCATAACATCTGCCATAAATGCTGCACGTATAAAATTCAATGAAAAAAGGGAAAGGCTTTGTGTTAGATCATTTAGGTATGAACAATTTGGAAAACAGTTTGCAATGAATCAAAACTTGAGCCCTGATGCTGTGTTTCAGCTTGCATGCCAAATGGCCATCTATCGCCAGTACAGAAAATTAGTGCCTTCTTATGAAGCTTGCAGTACTGCAGCTTTTAAGCATGGTCGCACAGAGACAATTCGCCCAACATCTGTATATACAAAAAAATGTGCCACTGCATTCTTTGATGAGCGAGGAAAGTATAGCATTGAAGACATGAGAAATATGATTGATGAATGTTCAAGGTACCATAAACGCTTACAACTGGAAGCTACATTAGGTTAGATCTTTTCTTTTTGTTATGTAGATAATGATTATTCTAAGTTTTGTAAGTTTTTCTAGGACCTTATATAAGCTCTTTATTGTATCAATATATTTTACTTTGTAAAAGCTGTTGCAAATACTGTTTTTGTTGCCAGATGTCTTTTAGAAAGGATAAGGATCTTCAACATTTTTCCATAGAAGCGGAAGTTATGTTACCCTGGCTTTTCCTAATTTAACTAAAAAACTTACTGACTAACATGGTTACATTGAAAAGTACTTCTACTATTTGTTTTATTTATTTTCCACTTTGCCTCCATGTTGCTGAAGGTGTGATATATCATATTCTCACCTCCATTTTATTTTCACAATGACCCTGTCAGATAGGTTATGCTGAGAGTGTTACAGTGCAGTTCAATATATGTCTCCTCCAAAGTATGTTCCATTAAATTCAACTGGGCTTACTCCCAGGTAGGTGTGTAACATTGAAGCCTTTATGATTATTCATTGATCTTGGCTGAGCATGGATTGGGACCATGGTACTACAACTCTAATCCTATACCAATCATGACATTGCACTAATTCTTTAATGGATAGGGAAATGGCAAATCAGCAGATAGCAAAATTAAGCTTTTAAAATGAGAGAATAGCAGCTCTCCAATAAAAGCCATTAAGGTACCTTACAATTGGCTAATTCCTTTTCTTTCTTTTTTAAAGTCTTTGTACAAGACATAGTTGGGCTGGGGAACAGACACTAGATATAATTCTAACAAAAAGAAGAAGGAGGTCACATAGAAACACTATATAATCCAGCCGTAACTGGGAAAATATAAGTTTTATTGTAAGAAGAGATAGTAGAATCTAGTGATTCCCAAGCTTGGGTAAGTCAGATGTTCTTGGACTGCAGTTCCCCAAAACTGGTGGCTGAGGTTTATGGGAGTTGCAGCCCAAGAACACCTGGAATACCCAAGGTTAGGAACCACTGACCTAGATGAATAGATTAGCATCCTTTCCTTGCGTTCAAAGTTCTATGAAACTTAAATAGTGCTTGATTTGCAGATATACCTGATTTTTTATTGTTGATATGAGTGTTATTGTTAGGATGGTGAGGGAGGGCAATTAAGATAGTCTACTCCAAGAAGCTTATAGGTACTAATGGTTTCTTGATAGGTCTTTGGGTGGGGGTGGTTCCTGTTGTCTTGGCATTCAATTCTGTCAAAGTCCTGGTTGATCTCTGGAATAGGGAAGTGGCTACAGAAGTCAACAAAATTGCTCCTAAGCATCCCCTTTCATGAATAAAGCCAAACTAGGTCCTTGATTTATCAAGCTACTGATGGTGATGAAATGAATGTATGGATACTGGACTGACAGTGGCAGAAAACTTAAGAATGTATCCGACCAAACACAGATCTTTGGAAGGTCTGCTCTGTGGTGATGCTGGCAATGAATAAGTCATTTTTCTCTGCCAGCATTACATCTGTTCAGAGTCATCCAACAGTGCTGTTTCACGTGTCAGTGCCTTTTAGGCACTTCCCCACAAAAGTAAACTGTAGACCACTCAACAATTTGCGTGGCACTTTGCAAATAAAACCACTCAAATCCATTCTGATTTAGATGCTGTAATCAAGACTGTTCCAATGGAAGTTTTGGCTCCTGCTTGTCTAGTAAAGGATACATTTCAACTTGAGTAGCCTGAGGTTCTTCTTCGTGTCCTCTGTGAATGCACACAAACAGGTTGTTCTGCGCCTGCACAGGACATCTCGGAATTTTCCAGAGCTTAAAAACACATGATTAGTAGGACGTTCCCCCGTGGAGTGTATGCTCCACCCACCCAAGGTCCTCTCAGTTCCTTTTAGCCGCCACGTAGGTTAGACCTATATCGGAGCGCTACAGCAACTTCTTTCAAATCAGTATTCTGTACCTCACCCTTTTTTCTCATCTACCTTTCCATTTTCAATCGACGTTCTCCCGTGGGTTATTTTTCTTTTACCCATTGACTTTTATCCCTTTTTGTTCACTCCTTCACTCCCAACCTATTCCTCCTCCCCACTTTTCCCCTTCCTTTCCCACCTTTTATGGCCTCTCCAGCGCCATTCAAGTGGTGTGTGCTCTGCACTAAGATCCCGCAATCGGACAGACACAATCACTGTCTTTTCTGTTTGGGCGAAGAGCACCAACAATCGGACAGACACGATCGCTGTCTTTTCTGTTTGGGCGAAGAGCACCAGACACAATCTTGTTCTCCATGCAAGAGGCTCACTAAACCAGCCTTGAAACTTTGGCTTCAGAGACTTAGATCTCATCTCTGAGAGAAATCTCTTCAACCTCCATACACATGGATGGAACCTACCTCATCACCGGTTCCACGCTCTGATCCATCCAAGTCAATGTCGAGCCCAATGCAGCCATCACCAGGGCAAAAGGAGCAATCCAAAGCGAGACCAAAGTTGGTATCGACGTCAAAAGCCTCTGCTTTCCAGGCTAAACACTCTCCTAAAAAAGAAAGGAAAAGAGCAAAAAAACCCAAAATTAAAAAACTCTCCAAGACCCTCTGTGTGGAGCAACCTTTTCCATCACTTCCTTCTCCGATCTTGGAAGAATCATCCAGGGACACTCATCATTCTCCTTTACCAAGAGATTATCACTCTATACCTCCTGCGCAGGCTTCCGTATCAGCGAGTAGCTCTGTTCCCACTATTGGCCTTTCTATGGCTGATGATCACTCCAGCCAGGCCTCTGCCCATTCTAGTCCTGCGACCTCAGGACGGGCGATACCGATACTACTCTCTGATTCTGATTCTCCCCAACGATCTCCCAGAAAACACACATCTAAGTGGAGACACCTTTTTCCACCTTATCATCCTCCATATGGAGAAGTAATCTATTATCAGGAGCCACCTTGTTACCATTATGAACTCCCTTGACACTACTACCAACCTTGGTATCACAAACGAGGTGAGTACGGCGTTCCATATTACCCATATATCCAAGAGGACATACCAGAACAGGTCCCCTACGACAAACCTAAGAGAGTGCGCTACACAATACCGTACCAGGCATGACATTCTCCGTTGGCATCCCCATCTCCACCTCAACACGGACATCATAAACCTTCTTCACACGCTGTACCTTCTCAACAACTCGCTTCCTCAAAACCATCTCGTAAACGTCATGACTCGCAACCAATCAGACCTCGCCCAAAACGACCAGAACATTCGACATCGGAATGATCTTGATATAAGCCCATACCACCATCGGTATTGCAACATCATTGACCCTCAGTTCAAGCCACCATTACTTACAAGGGGACTCCTCCTCCTCCCTCTGATCCTGGCAGATCGCAACCAATCAGACCTCGCCAACCTGCCTCTCCCTCCACTTCATCTTCAACAGATCAAGATTCTCCAGTATCTCTCAAGAATCTCCATCTAACATACCTACCCCTGGATCAGATGTGGCTGACAACCACCCTCCTTCTCCATCAGAGGATTTCACCTCCTATTCCCAACTCGTTATGAGGATGGCCAAATCCCTGGAACTCGACGTCTAAGAACCACTACCACTTAAGCAAGATTTGGTCTTCAATTATATAAATCAGGATAAAACTCCCCTGCTTAGCCTCGCTTTCATCCTTTCAATACTAGATTTGGTCAAGGAGTCCTGGGACAAGCCTCCTTTATCCCTACAAATTTCAAGGAGAGTGGAGAATCATTATAAAACACACAGTACCAACACATCTTTCTTAACAAAGCACCCTACTCCCAATTCTATTATTGTGGAATCAAACCAATCCAGGGCTCGGAACAAATCATCAGTCACCCCAACAAACAGGGAAGGTCGGAAACTAGACATTCTTGAGAGACGGCTCTACTCCCTCACCTCTTTCCTGATGAAAGTAACAAATTATCAAGCGGCGATGGGCACATACCATTGTCAATTATGGAATAAGGTTCTCCCTATTGGTACCTGAAGCATCTAAAACGGAAGCTCTTAACATCCATACTGAAGCTTTTATGCTTGCTAAACAACAAAGAATCGCATCCCGACACACTGCTGATGCTGCTTCCAAAGCCATGACCACATCAATTGCACTTTAACGCCATGCTTGGCTCAGAACTGCAGGTATCTCTGATGATACAAAATCTCAAATCAAAGATTTACCTTTGATGGTGCTGGCCTTTTCAACCAAAATACAGATGTCATGGATAATTTGCATAAAATCAGGAAAACTGCTCACTGTTATTCAACTCAACAACCTTATCGATTCCAAAGACCTCAGTTGCACAGACAACAATTCGTCCAGCAGCCTTATCTACCATATCAGCAGCAATGCAAGACTTACAAACCTCTGATGACTGAACAACCATTTCTGATTCAGACTACTTCCACCGCTCTACCCTTTCAAGCTCAAGCCCAACATCAACGTCAACAACCCTTTTGGCGCAATCAAAAATGGGGTAAGCAATAGCGATGATTTTCTAAATTTCGCCTTTATACATCCAACATTTACCCACACTCATCTATACCCTTTTCTCCAATTTTGGATTCATATCACTAATGACCATTGGGTCCTATCTATAGTCGAACATGGCTTTTATATGGAATTCCACTATATATCCCCTCTTGGTCAAATTAAATATACAGTACCTCCTACTCTTCAGCCATGGAAGAAGTTTCCCTTCTTCTACACGAACATGCTATCATTCCTGTCCCAACGGAGGATCTTCATAACAGTTTCTACTCACGTTATTTTACAGTACCCAAGAAAGACAGAGGACTCTGTCTTATTCTTGATCTTTGACACCTAAATAAATTCATCCAACCCAAATGATTTAGAATGATCACATTGAACACTGCTATTCCCCTCCTTTCACAGGGAGACTAGTTTGTTCTCATTGACCATGACGATGCCTACTTCCACATTTCCATTCATCTGAAACATCACAAATACTGTACCTTCGTTTCCATTTCAACGGTGTCGCCGTTGAAAGAACTTTTACGAAATGCCTAGCACCAGTT